TATATATATAGTGCCTTCAGACATATACAACATCACATTGTGTATCTTGAGTATTTTAACAAGGAGATAAAACCTATAAAACCTACATCATCTCAGCAGTTGTTTCCTGGTGCTCCTGTAGGAGTGGTACCCTATGTTAGGAGATTAATAAAAAGCTAAAAGGAAGGCACGTTGCTAACTATTAAAGTAAGTTGGAAAAAATAAAAAAATAAATAAAAAATTGATTTACCTACTTTCATACTGAACCAGGTATGGATTAGCTATTTTCAGTATCTACAGTATAGCAAACTCTAAAAACGAGTTGCAGAAAGTACACAATGGTAACTTGAACAACTTAAAACATGGCATGTTTAACAAAAAATTTAAATACAATAGCAAGAAAAACCTAAAGCAAGACAGCAAGAAAAACCTAAACTTGAAGTTATTCAAAATCTCAAGTGGAGATAGACCAAACTGTAGAAAAGTACAGTGTGTGACATTCAAAGACCTGAGTTGAGAACATGCCGCACTCTGTAAATTCTTAAAGAGCACTGTCGATGAATGTTCCTGCTTCACCATCTGGACAGGTAGTTAGCGCGTTAACACACACACACACTTACACTCAGTGGGTGTGAGACTCAAAGCCATATGTACAGTACATACTGAGCCAAGAGGGGTGGCATCTAAACATTGTCGACACGCGAACACATGCATGCACTTTTGTGTATATAATGACCTGTGCACAAACACATACAAATGTGTGTTGTGGTCAGCTCCTAGGATGTATTGTTACAGGAGAGGAGTGGATTTGGTCATAGTGAGACAATATACAGAAGAAATGCATGGTTATATAATTTTATTTTTGTGTTCAACTGGTTGCTGTGTTGTAGCTCAAAATATAGGTGGGTTGTTCTGACTGTTATCTACAAGTAATTGTCATTGTGTTTGTGAATAATGACACTACATTGTTGTGCCCGGGGGTATTAATCTTACTGAACATCACAGGACCACTATGACCTCCAAGGGCCAAGGGTCAAAAATAAATCCCTTCACCCCTGCCCTGTTATTGTGACCTGGTATAGAAGAGGAGCAGAGTGGACTGGTGGTCCTGCAGCCAGCCCTCACTATGAGAAATGTGTCTTAAATTTCAGGTTAAGTGTGACTTTTCCTGAAAATGGAATATGGTATCTTATTGTCATAGCCCTGGCTCAGAGAGCAAGACAAAAATGGGAGACCACACACTTTTAAGTAACTTAACAAAAATATTTATTTTCTAACCAAATATCACAAACCAAACAGGAAGCAGGTGCTCTGAGAAATGGTCGGAGAGAGAAAGAATGAGAAGGAGGAGCCAGTTAAATAACCT